GGCTGTGAGCAACCTGATGTGGTTAAAGGTGTCCCTGCTCCCTGCAGGGGGGTTGGGCTGGGTGACCTCTGGGGGTCCCTTCCAACCCAAAACATTCTATGATTCTGTGATTCTGTGATCCGCACGCTGACCTGACCTGTGTTTTCTGGCTGCCTTCCCTCTAGGAAGAAGTTGGGCCTCTGCTGAAGATACTGAAAAGTAACGGCAATGGCGGCTGCAAGAACGGCTAAACCTTCTCTTCGTTTCGTGGCCCCAGTTAGACTGTGTCTGAAATAATTTACCATACAGTTTGAGATTTAGAGTTTGTTAAAATGCCTGAAATAAAAGTCACTCCCTTGGGTAAGTCCGGTCTAAAATCATCCTGAAATAGGAACACTGAAAAGTTTGGGGTTTAGAATCTGAAGCCATGCTCGTTAGTCAGCTGGAGGCACATGTGCCTTTCTGTGCCACGAAAACCGCGTATGGTGGAATACTGCAGTGCCGGTAACAGTTGTGCAGCATCCTGACCTGGGTCCTGTCAGGATGTCACTGTCCTCCTGTCTTTCCAGCAAGTAAGACTTGACCAGTCTGACAGCTCCATTTTGATTACAGGATTCTTTAATGCGTTCTGTATTGTTGTAGTGCACTGTAGTGCTGTACAGTATAGGTAATTAGGTCACTTAACATCACTAAAAATCCAAAGGAAGCAAATTTTTCACCTTCTGTTGTTTTTTGTTTGTTGTTTTTTTTTTTTTTTTAATGGGTTGCAGAGAGATGTATTTCTGTACTGAAAGGGCAGAGGATGTGCTGAGCAGAACTGCTGCATCCTGATGATAGTTTTCTGGCTGGGAATGAACTTAATTGGAGCTTAATGAAAGTCTGTGCTTTCACTGAGAGGCAGAGTACTTGGGGAGGTGCAGAGCCCTGGGAACTTTGAGTTCCATGCTAATCCTTTCCAGATAAGAGATTATTTTGCTCTTACTTGAAATTGTGTAGCTGCACAGCAGCGGGCAGAGAACAAGCATGCCCCGCATGTAAACTGCTGCTGGGTTTGGACGCAGTGCGCTGTATTTACGGCAGTTTTGCAACTGCAGGTGGAAGGCCCTCTCGTAAGCTCAGGGGATGGGGTCACTCTGTTCGCGTTTGCTTGTCCTCCAACAGAGCTGCTTGCTTGGAAGAAAGGGCATAGTCTTTCCCTGCATCAGGAAATGGCTAGGAAGTTTGTACCGACCTTTAAATGCTCCTCTTTCAAAGTGACTGTAAATATTCCTGGAGATGTCTTACTCACCTTTCTTTTGCTTGCGTCCAGGAGCTGGCCAGGATGTGGGGCGCAGCTGTATCCTTGTGTCTATTGCTGGGAAAAACGTGATGCTTGACTGTGGGATGCACATGGGCTACAACGATGATGTGAGTATAGTGGGGGAAGCCTGAATGTCCTGCAGAGACGCTTTCACAGTGCCTGGCGTTTGCCAGCAGGGCTCCTGGTCATTGTCCTGCTCTGTTCCCTTTTATCTGAACGTTGCCTGACTCTCTACTTACCTGACATACGGGTGATACCAGCTAGGTGTGTGTTATTGGGCACATGTATCAGCCACTGCCGGAGCTGGATTACAGCAGAGAATGAACTCCTGCTGCCCCTTCAGAGTCTTGCCTTCCTGTGCAAGAGGTACATCCCCTCAG